GGGAAGCCTGCTTCTCCCTCTCCCACTCCCCCTGCTTGTGTTCCCTCTCTCGCTGTGTCTCTTTCTGTCAAAAAAATAAATAAAATCTTAAATAATAATAATAATAATAACTTCTGCGGGTGCCTGACTGGCTGAGTCGGGAGAGCCTGAGACTCTTGATCTCAGGGTTGTGGGTTGGAGCTCCACATTGAGTGTGGAGATTACATACATACAGATAGACATACACAAACAAACAAACATGAAAGAAAGAAAGGAAGGGAAAAAGAAAAGAAACGTGTGCTTGGTCTCTGCACCAGGTTCCTGGCACTGAGTTCCTAAAACCCTAGAAATTTCCTGAGTGATAGAAGAGAAAGGAGCATCCTTGGGGGTGGGGAGAAGTACACTTCTGGAATCAGCTTTCCTCAGTTTAAACTTGCCTCCCAGGGATTTTAGCTGTGAAACCTTGGCCAAATCACTTTATGTCTATTCTTTATTTGGTTTATCTTTCATTTGTAAATGGAAATTAACAATAGTGCCTACCTCTTTAGGGTTGGTGGAGGGATCAAATGAGATTATCCCTGTAAAGTGGATGGCACATTCCTAGTATAGATTAAATCCTCAATCAGGGGTCACTGCTGTTGCTGTTGGCAGCAGTGGAATTGTCTCTATTATTGCTCTTCACGCTTTCACTTCAAGGGGCAGGAAGGACCCAGTGCTAGTGTGTTTCAGGAGATTTTGTTGAGTTTCTTGTGCTCACCATCTCTGTTGGGCTGCTGTGCAGCCATTCGGTTTCCTCCCACTCCAATTATTCTCCCCAAAATGTACTTCCTCAGCTGCAGTAGAGAGATTGAATAGGACAGTCAGGATCCTCCTTGGCTCTTCTTCACAGATGCACGCTGCTGTCTGTCAGGTCTGTCAAATGACCTTATTTCTTATGCTTTTGCATGGAAGAGTTCTAACGGATCCTGTGGCCTTGTCTCCTTCAGGTTCTGTTTTTACTTTGGCTTTCTTTTCTTTTTCATTTATGTCCATTTTCCCCCTTTGATTGAAATAACTTCTGAGCCATGGTTCTTTTTCTAAGATCAAACTCATAATGTGAAACCAGTTTTTTTCTTAGCTACTTGTCCCCCATCTTGACTTGCTAAGTCAGATTTTTTTCTCCAAAGGTTTTTATAAGAACTGCCACGTAAAGAGTAGGTGCTGTGATTTCTAAATCTCATAGGATCAGAATAAGTCAGTGTAAGAAGAAAAAGGATAACATTTTAGCATCATTGCACTTGGAATTTTAGAGATAAAAGTGACACTGGTTTTTAGATAGTCCAGGTCTCTTGCTGAAGAAAAATACATTCAAGAGAAGTAACTTGTTAAGTTCACGTAGCTAATTATGTCAGCGCTTTTCCACTAAATCACACTTCTTAGGCATTGCTATGCTGTTTAGCTGCAGAATCTTAAGATTTCTGGAGTTCTGATTTTTGAAGCAGCAAGCATAAATAGTTCCTAAAAGCTCCAAATGTGTTCGTGCCCGTCAGGAAATGACTCACCTTTTCTTGTATTGTTCCAGAGTTCATACTGGCTAAAATTAGCCCAAGAAAGTTTGGCACTGTTCCCAATGAATTGGGTGGAACAAAAGATGGTGTCTGAAGCTCTGTAGCCCAAAGCCTCACTCCTTTGGCTCTCTGATAGTGGTAATTGAGGTCTCTGTAAGCGGGCAACTGGTAGTATTTACCTTCCATCTTAAAAAGAAAGTGACATCTAAAAGGGTAGGCTGAGTTAAGGAAATGTGAGCTCACTAGCTAGCTTTTTGCTCTGATTCCTTAAATTATTCAGTCTCCCTGCAAAGGATTTTTATCTAAAATAGCCCACTTAGTGGGCAGTGCCTTGCTCAGAGATTTCATTGCAGGGATTTAGTTTAACTTGTCTCCTGTTTTTCTGCTGACTTTTCCCTCTCCAGCAGTCAGTGGGCTCTGTGCAGTTGGAATTTTTCTCTGTATTTACTTGTCTTTATGGATTATTATTGTGTGTTAGAATCTGGGAATGCTTTACTGGAGATTTTTTTTAAGGTCATCCATATTGGTTCTTAATCAGAGGCAATGTGCTGCCCAGGTGGCTTTGGAAAAGTGAGGGGTTTTGGTAGTCAGTGACTGGGTGAGAATACTGAAATTTAATAACATTAGCCACAGATGGTAATCTTCTGCAATGTGCAGGGGAATCCTGCACCATGAATTGGGCTACCCAAAAGGCTATTGTACTGCTATTGATGAACACTGAAAGCCTGACTCTTCTTATTTCATGGTGGCAAAATGAGGGTTCTAATGAAGTTTGTCTTAGGTGACGTAAGTAATTAGATGTGAAGCACAGCCTAGATAGAACCCAGCTTTTATCCTCGTTTATAGTGCCTTTCGCTATTCCCATGGCATCCTTAAAAACTTTCCTGAGACCTGTTCTGGAGACGACACTGTTTTAAAAAAAAAAATTGTTTATGTGTATGTATATAAATATACCTATATTTAGATGTTTATGTGTACAGGTGTGTGCATAAATAATAGTATATTTCCACAGCAGTGCTGATGGGATAAAAGCTACCGCACCAAGGAATTTTTTAAAGTAAGCTGATCTGAAATAGCAGCTGGTATTTTTAGTGAGTTTGAGTATTTTCTAGTAAGTAATTAATATGTTTGAGTTAATTTGACCAAGGGAGAAGTTTGTGGCATGGGTGTAGGTCAGCCTTAAGATTCACCTGAAAGAATCTGGGACAGAAGAGTTTTCCCCAATAGAATTGGAAGCTTTCAGTCTCTCCGTGTGAGATTTGACCACGTTGGGATTAACTGAATCTCATAAAGGGACCACCAAAACAAACAATCTAGAACTTCTAGGCCCAGTATGGCAATATGTCAGCTTCTACCTAGACGTAGAGAAGCAGGCTTTGAAGAAAGGTCAGGCCCAAAATGCCAGCATTTGTTTGCTAAAACTTAAAGAAGCTATCAATGAGAAATTTGTTAGGAGGAGAACAGCTTTATCCTAAGTGGGGTGTTGAATACTGTGGTGAAAAGGACCTGAAGTCAGAAGACTTAAATTCAGGCCAGTTTTGTACTTGGGCCCTTAAGTTAGCCTATTACTCTCTCTGGGTCTCTGTCTCCTAATCTGTTACCCATACATTTTTGTTGTGAGGATCGAATGAGAGAATACTTGTGATGTGGTGTCCGCTGTAAAATGCCGTATGCATACAGGCATTCTTATTTTTTTTTTTCTAGGAAAAGCCAGCCAAAGTCAAAGTGGAATTGGCTCCTGGTATCTCCTCCAGAGGCTCGGTGGTTAAAAGAAATCAGCAGCCTGTCAACACTGAGCAAAACTCCCCTAAGGAAAACGCCTCCAAACTGACTCTGGAGAACTCGGAAGCTGTAAGCCAGCTCCTAAGTGTAGCTCCTCCAAGAGAAGTGGGTGAGGAGAATGAGTGGGAGGAAGTGATCATCTCAGATGCCCATGTTTTGGTCAAGGAAGCTCCTGGGAATCGTGGTACAGCAGCCACGAAGACGCCGATGGTCAAGAGTGGTGTGCAGCCTGAGGTCTCTCTGGGGACAACTGAGAATGACAGTCCTGGACCAGACGTACCACCACCAGCTGAGAGGACCAGCACCTCCAGTCCTCTCCCTGCTCCTAAGAAGCCTACAGGGTAAATTAATGTGCTCACATATTATAGGATTGTATTTAGAATAGCAGGTTGGGAAATGCTCCTTGTTTTATCCTATGTTCTTAGAGCATTCCTAAGAGGGAGGAGTTAACCCAGTTAATGATTCCTATTTTAGAGATACAGAAACCAAGGCCTAGAGCCATGGAATGATTTGTCTTTCCTCTTACACTCAGCTATCCCTGCTTTGCTGTTAAATTCCTGTACATATCTTCTTGTCATTTTCTCTGAAGCAGTTATTAGGGTCCTGCTGGTACAGGCTGAGGGTGGTGTTACAAACTAGTATCCAATCGTGGATACTAGATTTGGAAAAAAAAAAAAACACCTTATTAAGACATCTTATAGCATGATCCCTGTCCTGGTGGTCAGAGAATTCAGTTTTGGTTGTGATCTGTCTCTGACTTTGGGCATTGTCCCTTCATGCCCGTTTGATCTTGGGCATTGTCCCTTCATGCCCATTCTCTCCTGAAAAATCTTGAGTTGGGTATTGAAAAATATCTAAAATTTAATGGCTGACCTTAACAGCCTGAACAAGATTGTGTGTAAAGCATGCATAGCCCAGTGCCTTGCAGATAGGAGGAGGCCCATAAATATGGGCTATTTTTCCTCCCCTTCTCTCCTTAAAGGCCTGACCAGATTTTTCATGTGGCCCCTTCCCAGAGGCGATTGTGGTCTTATGACTAATGGCCCTTATGGCCCTTATTTGTTTATATCGGTGGTTCTCAACAGGGAACACTTTTGCCCCCAGGGGACATTGAGGCAATGTTTAGAGGCATTTGGGATTGTGACAGCTGTGGGGGAGGAGGTGCTGCAGGTATCTGGTGGGCAGAGGCCAGATGTGCTGCTAAACATCCTGCGGCGCACAGGACAGGCCCTGACAAAGAATTAGCCTGCGCAAAATGTCAGTAGTGCCAAGGCTTAGAAATTCTGGTGTATATTATTTGATTTAAAACATTTTATTGTTGAATAGGAAATATATTCACACGGTTCAAACTCAAGAGATAAAAACTGAAACAAATCTCTCTTCTAGCCCGTCCTTCACTCCCATTTCCATTTTCCAGACACAGCATTCCCACCTTCCTGTGTTTCTAGACATAGTTTTACACACATACTACATATGTGTGTATGTATAGATGTGTATGTGTATATATTTTCTTCCTGCCTTTTTTTTACACAAATGGTAGCATAACTTACATCCTTCTACATCTTGCCTGTTTTTATTTAACAGTATACTTCAGGATGGTTCTGTATCCTTAGAGAATGAAGCCATGCAGTTTAGACCTTTTGTTTTGGGCAAGTGAGTCACTTGGCAAATGTGTATTGAGGCCCTTTATGATGTAGCCTGTGCTCAGCACCGGGGCTACAAAAAAAAGTGTGGATTTTGTTCTGCAGGGTCTCTTAGCCGCCCTCACAAGGGAGACTGATAAACTTTAAATAATAATTGGAGGCAGATCAGATAGTATAACTACAATAGCTGTTGGTATTCTGCATTGTGGGTACTATTTTGTGCTTTTTTATCTTCATAATGACCCCATGAAATATCTGTCTAAAGCCTGACAGTTTACTACACTATCCCTTTACTAAAATGCTATTCGGAGATTGTACTTCGGTTTTCTTCCCCTTGGTCTGGAATTTTTAGATTTGCCTTCTTGTTTTTTTCAGAGTTGACCTGCTCACCCCTGGGGCCAGAGTCCCGGAGCTTAAAGGCAAAGCTCGGGTCAGACCCTCATTACTGGCTGCAGCAAGACCCATGAGAGCAATTCTCCCAGCCCCATCTAATGTGGGCCGAGGCAGCGGCATGGGACTGCCCAGGGCCAGGCAGGCCTTTCCCCTGAGTGGTAAGGGGCTGGGACAAACCTGGGAGTGGAGAGCTGTCCAATGGGAAGGGGACAGGAGTGGGAGTTGTTGAGAATGGACTTGAGAGACTTAGGGAGACTCTGAATGCTCTTAAGTCACCAGTTTGACTCCTGATTGTCTCAGATAAAACCCCTTCTGTGAGGACTTGTGGCCTGAAGCCAAGCACGCTGAAGCAGCTGGGCCAGCCGATCCAACAGCCATCTAACACCAGTGAGGTGAAGGTAAGACCCATTCTCCAGAGGTGGGGCTTTCTGGGAGGCCTGCTGCTCTGAGAACAGGACTTCTATTTAGTGTCTCAAAGCCATAGGCAAAAAGCCTGTTCTTACACTGTTAGACTTCTGGAATGAAGTTGAGCATGAATGAGTTATTTATTTTTAGTTAAATTTCTTTTCTTGTTATAAAATGAATGCGTGTTTTTAAACTTTTTTTAGAAATAATTTTGAGGGGCACCTGGGTGGCTCATTCGGTTAAGCATCTGCCTTCGGCTCAGGTCATGATCCTGGGGTCTTGGGATCGAGCCCTGCGTCGGGCTCCCTGCTCAGTGGAGAGCCTGTTTTTCCCTCTGCTTCCTCCACTTGTTCTCTCCCTCACTCTCTTAAATAAATAAAATCTTAAAAAAAAAAAAATTTTGAAACTTAGGGAACAAATTGCATTGCAAGAGTAAAGATAGTACAAAGAGCAACCATGTATTTTTTATCCATAGTCACTTACTGTTATCGCCCATTTTGCTTTGTCATTTGTCCTCCTCTGTGCTTCTAAATACAGGTAGTTTAAGGGGAAGTTACATGTCCTTTGGCTTCTTAATACCTCAGTGTGTATTTCCTAAGAAGGGTATTCTGTTACTGACACGTTGATACAATACGTCAGTCTGTCATTTGCATTCCCATTTCATCAGTTTTACCCAGTTATGGCCTTTATAGCATTTTTCCACTCCAGTACAGGATTCAGTCTAGGATTAGATAATTGCATTGAGTTGTCTTATTTCTTTAGCCTCTTTTAAAAAAAATGAATGCATGGTGGTTATAGAAAATTCAGGTAAGGCAGAAAGAAAGTAAGTCCCTTGTAATCCTGTCACCCAGAACTAACTACTATTGGCAGTCTGCGCCCATTCAGCCTTTAAGTCCTTTCCTGTATTTGTGTGTTTTTTAATAGGATTTTTTAAAACCAAAAAACATGGCTCTTACTCCACATTCTGGTTTGTAGCCAGTATATAATCCATTCAACTTAATGATAGAGTTATTAGAGGCTTCCCAGGTGTCAGAAATTCAGTGTATTCAAGCACACTTGCTCTTAGGTTTTTTGTTTTTTTAGTTCTTTTTCCATATGTGACTAGAATAGTTATGATCAAAATTCCCTAAATCAGCATTTTATTTACTAGACCTCTTTTTTTGGGTCATGACCCTCAATAACACATTTTTACATCACAGCCCAGTAAACTTACCCATACCTGTATACATAAAAAGTATAAGGAAGCTATCTATGTCTTTATATATATGTAGTCACTTTGCTATTTTCCATTTTGCAAAATGCTCGTTTCAACTCATTAATTTCACAACCCCTCAGTGGGTTGTGACCTGTAGTTCGGAAACCCTGTTAGACCAAATTGAAATAGGAAAATCAGGCTGAGGGCAGCTGCTTAACCAACTGAGCCACCCAGGTGCCCCAAACACTGCAAAATTTCATAGATGGTGGTAAAAGGGAAAACAGTCATGATCTTCCTCTCACCCTGTGACATTTTAGTGAATAGTCTCTCAGACTTCATTCTGTGCCAACATTATTCAACCACATATTTGCATGTATAACCATCATGAGCTTTTCTCACTTTGTATTAGTTGTCCATCTGATTCACAGTGTTTCTAACATGCAGTGTTAGAAGCTGCACAGAAGAGTGTGGCAGCCCTGGACTTGGAAGTGATACTCAACCTTTGGTGGGCTGGTGATGCTGGCTAGCATCTTAGAAGGCTCACATGGAGCATAGTTCTACACATTCCCTTGGGAAACTATCTCCTCAAGCTGTTTCAGGACACAGGACCTCAACAGTTTGAGGTTTTAGATAAACCTCAATTAGATAAACGATCTAAACTTTTAGATAAACTAAATCACTTGTTCTGATCCACAGCTCTCAAACAGTCCGGCCAGTAGGACATCTCAGGTGAAAGTTGTAGAGGTCAAGCCAGATATGTTTCCTCCATACAAGTACAGCTGCACTGTAACGCTGGTAAGTGTAGCCAGGTGATGGGCTGACATGGAAGTGGTTTTGGTTTTCTGGCGGAGGGTGAGTAGAAGTCTGAGGGAGGTGGGGAGTAGTAGTTCGGAGTGATAGTAGGGTCAGGAATAGATCATTGGTCCTGAAGAGGCCATCACTGATACCAGTGATAGCTGCTGGGTGAATCAGCTGGGTTTTTCCCAGACGAGATCTATAGAGTGTAGGCCAGCTGAGACCTGGATATTTCTTGGAGAGTAATTGGAGATGAGAATCTCATCCAGCTTTAGCATTCAACAGTCTTTGGACCTTCTATCCTCAGAAGTGTTTTCCACAGATAAGCTTGAGAAAATTGTATTTATCCTCCTTAACACAGTCACATTCAGTACTGGTATCTCAAAGCATTTGAGGAGTGCTTTGGTAAAACAACTTTGTTTCGCTTGGCATTTCCTACCAAGGTTTTCCCTTCCCACCCACCTTTTATTTTTAACACTACATATATTATCCCAGTAAACAAATGTGTGACTCTGGGGTCATCCTTTAGCAGGGTAAGCCACATGGAACAGTAGAATAAACACTCCAAGGACTTAGTCCAAAAGTGGTTCTGGCTCTGCTGCCAGCACGCCACATGACCTTGGGCAAGGCTCTTTGCTTCTCTGGTCCTTAGTTTTCACATCTATAAAGTGCTGCGTCATTTTGGATATCATGTTGGGGCTCTTCTTGCTCTTAATATTCTCTAATTTTGTTGATCCTTAAGGTACCAGTTAGCCAGGTATCTTTTGGCAGGTTCTCTGGCAGAGCTGAGTAAGACACAGATTTTGAGAGAGCAGCTGGATTTTTGAAAATTTTTACCAGATAAGGCAGACAGGTGCAGAACCATTCATTCATTCAAAAAATATTTCCTGAGCACCTGCCCTGGCCAGGCCCTTTGCTGGGGATTCCGTAGTAACAAGACAGCACAGTATTGTGAATTAGTGCATAGTCTGGCCTGATCCTTAAGGAGAATATCTCCTTTATCCTGGATACCTGCTCAGTTTTCTTTCCCCAGAGACCTAATTACTATTACCTTCTCCATGCCGTCTGTACCTTTACTTCCCTGTCCCTTTGGCTACAGGAGGCACTAGGGTTACCATCTGGGGGAACTTTCAGGACCTTTCTCTTTGGCTGATTAGATAGCAGCTTGTCGTAGGAGCCTAGATGTCGTAGGAGCCTAGGGTAGTGCAGAGGTCATGGTTGTCTTCATGCAGGGCATGGACTCTTTAGTTCACCACAGTATCCAGCACTCTGTTAGAAAAGGCCTGCTAGTGGCCTGGACCCTGAACGCATTTGAACTTCTGACCCTTAAGAGTCCACTCGTTTCACAGATGGGGAGGAGGGACTTGCCAAAATTACACAGGCTGTAGTAAGTTGAAAGGGCATAACCGCAGAAAAAGGATCTTGTTTCAAGGCTTTTTGGAAGTTAGTCTACATGTACTTTTGCAGTTGTCACTCTCACCTTTGACTGATAGCTGGTCATCCTGGTTTTTTACTCTGCCCAGGTGTAACTTGTGGAATTAAATATTGGTCTTACTTTTTTAGGATTTGGGCCTGGCTACTTCAAGAGGCAGGGGAAAGTGCAAGAATCCCTCTTGTAACTACGTCTACACCAACAGGCATAAACCACGGATTTGTCCCAGTTGTGGTTTTAACCTTGCCAAAGACCGAACTGAGAAAACCACCAAGGCTCTCGTGAGTTCCTTCCCTAAACACATCCCGTCACCTTGTGTGAGCTCTGTTGGTGCACCTGTTTTAGTAGAAATAGAAAATGATTTCTTAGTACATGATAGTGGTTTGAACACCAGAACTGTAACCAGTTGTTAAGTTCTTAACCTAGCCTCCTTCTCTCTGGGCTCCCTTGTCTTCATTGTTAAGTTGAGAAGGTTGGCTAGGTACCTTAATCTCTGAAAACCTTCTAGCCCAGTGGACCAAGAGTTCATTCCCCAAGGTGAATGGGAACACAGGCTTTAAAGAGAATTCTGAAGAAGAGAGGGATGGAAGGGGGGTTACATTCTTTTAGATCTGAGACCTGGTGGAGGACCTGTAAATAGTGTCGTGGTATGTAGAGAATGCCAACCCTCAGACTTTGTAGATTAGATCACTGCTTCTCAGTTTCCTTGCAGAGCTTTTGGCTCAACACAAAGCTTTACTTCTAGCAGTCTTGGCAAATCTCTCTGAAGTTGGACCAAGCTATTTGGATAGTAAAACACATTCCACTTGGCTCTTTAGGACTTGTTTTTTATTTATTAGAACCAGGAAAAATGGGTATCTTTAGAGGTCCTGTGAATTTCTTTAAGTGAGCAGAAAGATACAGCACCTGAGGCAGCAGATGGAATGACTAGGATGAGGGTAAGAAGGCAGATTTCCCTGATCTGCCTTGGGGGAAAAGAGGATGGCATCCAGAATAGGTCAGGATCCGAGGTGGAGCCTGACCACTCCAGGTCTAAGCTGGACTTTGCAAGGTGGGCAGGATTTGGATGGAAGGGGAAGGCATTCCATACTCAAGGATAAGCAATGGCAAAAGCAAAGAGCTGCGGAGGGTGTTCCAGTCACCTAAAAGAGAAGGGTATGTAGGGAGGAATACAGAAAATAAGGCACAAAAGGCACATTGGGGCCGTACGGTGGAAGATCTTTAATGCTAAACCGGGCAATTTGTTTTTTAGGCCGTAGGGTCACATTGAGGCCCATGATTTGACAACATTCTGTCTTGACTCCCGGTGACACCACAATCTCTTTTAGGGCAGGTGTATCTATTTTGCCATACCATCTGATCCTGGAGTGTGCATAATCAATGTGTTGATCAGTGATTATAGAATGGAATTGAGTTCCGTATAGGTAGAGGCTCTGAACATTCCTTTCTCCTATTTGATTGTAGCTGTTGGTGTGGTTTGCAGTATGGAAATGGATGTTGGTCCCTAGATTTAGGATAATGAAGTGACCTAATTTTCCAGGTCAGACAGGAATGGTCTGGGGACTTCTAGCCAATTGATTTCAAATCCTAGTCTTTGAAATTTATATTTATATTCTTCTGTCTTTGGCTGATAGCTGCCTACCCACGGGACACTTATCTTCTGACATTCTGTCACCTTTAACTTCCTAAATTTTAGGGAAATAAAATGTAATTACTGTTTTTCATAAACTGAAACACTGGTCAGAGACCCTGGGGACCTTTGTGTGTGGTGCTCTTTGGGGCCCCCTGGTGGCCATATGTTTCCTGTGCCGCTTTTCCTTTGCTGTAATTAAGACTGTCACCTCTCTGGGCAGGAATGGTCTTCGTTCCTTTCCATCTTTCATCTGTGGCTCAGAGCAAAAGGATATAGTATTCCTGTCAACTCTTCTTCCAGTCCATGGTTCAACATAGTCATGACTGGGAACACACTATCTACGAGGGCAAATCCTAGTGTCAGTCAGCTCTCTGCAGCCATTCATTCATTCTTTCAGCAAGCATACATTGAACGCCTACCATAGGTCAGGTCTTTGGAGATACAAAGATAAATAGGACATGGTCCCTTCCCTTGAGGCACTCACAGTCTAGTGGGGGAGAAAGATAGGTAGCCAAACTTACAGATAATGAGACCAAGAGTTGTTGCAGGTGTGCAGAGTTACTAGAAAGTTCCTTTTTGTTATTTAGCAGTTAACTTCTGCAAAGCAACATGTAATATGTCCAGCAAATATGAATTAGCATTTTTGTGTGCCCTTATGCTGGTATTGGGAATCTGTAAATAAGCAGGGACTTTATCCTCACCAGAGATGGGGGAATAGTCTGACCAACTGTGAGTCAGTGAATTCTGCAGTAAAAGAATGGACTCTGGGAGCATGAGGGAGGGAGGGATTGTTGCTGCATTTGTACAGAGATTGTAAAGGATCTGTTTTTAATGAGCGTTTCAGAACCGTGTTCCTGAAAGCCTCTGACTGGTGTCTAATATAGTTCCCTTGTACCCAGAAGATAAAAGTGTTAAAGAGAAATACTTGAAGCAGTACAGATCGTTGTTTACATATCAAAACTACCATTGATAGAGCTTTCATTGCATCCCCAGAACTGTGCTAAGTGCTTTACTTGCAATATTTTATTGACTCTGTACAACAGCTCTAGGAGATCACTAGTATTTCATCCTTTATTTCATAGGTGAGGAAACTGAGGCTCAGAAAGATAACTAAATCGCTTTGGTTCACACATGTATAGTTGTTACATGGCATGTCCAAAATTGAGACCTGGGTGTGTTATTCTCCAAATTCCATCCCTGGTGAATGGAAGCTGACTCTTGAAACTATTACCAAGCAGTGTGTCATCCTCTCGTTTCACTGAGAGAGAACCTGGCACCAGAGAGAGAAAGCACCTGCGTTGAGTCACACAACAAGTTACTAACTGAGCTGGTTGAAAGCCTAGGTTTCCCCCCACTGTACCATGGCTGGGCCCATCCCTCTGTCACTTCCAGCCTCTCCGTGTTTTAGCCCGAGGCTGGTGGTACCCTAGGTGCTGGCTGATCCTTCAGTCTGCTCTCTTCCCAGGAGGTCAACTCACCTCTCCCAGATGTGCTGAGTGCCACAGAGCCACTGAGCCTGGCCCAGAGAGAGATCCAGCGCCAGTCCACGCTGCAGCTGCTGCGCAAAATCCTGCAGATTCCTGAGAACGAGTCAGAGCTGGCCGAGGTCTTCGCCCTGATTCACGAACTCAACAGCTCTCGACTCATTCTGTCCAACGTGAGTGAAGAGACAGTCACCATCGAGCAGACCTCTTGGTCGAATTATTATGAGTCTCCGTCCACGCAGTGCCTACTCTGTAGCAGCCCATTATTCAAAGGGGGACAAAAGTAAGCACCCCTTTGAGATTTACCCCGTCCCCAGCTGCCCTGTCCTCCTCGGCCCATATTGCCCCTTTCAGACAGCTATAAAGCTATAGCCTTTGAAGGTGTTATTCTCTGCTTCTCTTAGGTTTCCTTTGCTTTTGAACTGCTAAAGTAAAATAATAATAATTTGTAATCGTCTATTATTTTTAATGAAAAATGCCTGAAAGTTATTGTCACCAAGTTAGGATTTTATTTACATCTGGACTGCCCAGCATAATGCTTGGATTTGGGAGTTCAGGGGGATTGGTTAAATTGGGTAATAAATTAAGAGTTACGTTAACTTCAGGGGTGATTCCACAGACCTCATTCCAACAGAGTGGGAACACGCACCTAGAAAACCCTGGAACGCGAGCCCCAGCACCTTCATTTGCCTACTGTATTAGTCTTGAGAATTTTGCCATTGATCACTGAGCCCTGGGACTGCATTAAGTTGATTTCCCTTCTGTTTTTCTGTTGGTGATGTTTTGGTACTAGCTCCCTGGCTGGGCCCCAGGAGTGCTGGCTGCTGACAGCCAGCCGGCTGCAGGTGGTGACTGCCCAAGTGAAGATGTGCCTGAACCCTCATTGTCTGGCCCTGCACAGCTTCATGGACATCCATACAGGTGCGTGTCAGCCTTTCTTCCCTCGGAGGGCCCCAAAGCAGGCTTGGGCACAGCCTCTGGGGGTTAGACCTTGCTCTTTTGAGCACTGGGCCTTCTCTCAGATGGGGCTTCTGAGAAAGCAGCAGTTTTTCCTTCTGGATGTCTTAGCCCCAGAAGATGATGTTTATCTATCAAGTGTTAGGACTCTCATATCTGGGATCTTTAAACAAAGTTCATTGCTAAATAACAAATCCTCATTGTGGAAGAAATGGAACATGCTGACAAGTATAAAGAAGAAACTGAAACTGGTAGTAATCGTGCTGCCATGAGATAAACACTTAGCATTCTGCTCTTTAATCTTTCAGATGTGTTTTCATCCATACAGAATATAAGGCTGTAGGAAGTTTATGGGTTTATAGTTTTTCTTTCGACAGAAGTGGGATTATGCTGGGTGTTATTTTCGAATATTCTTTTTAAGTTTAGCAGTGTATCATGGGCATCTTCCTGTGCCAGCAAGTGGAGAAATACATGACCTTTTTTTTTTTTTAATTTTTATTTATTTGACAGAGAGCAACAGTAGGAACACAAGCAGGGGTAGTGGGAGAGGGAGAAGCAGGCTTCCTGCTGAGCAGGGAGCCCGATGTGGGACTCGATCCCGGGACTCCGGGATCATGACCTGAGCCGAAGGCAGACGCTTAACGACTGAGCCACCCAGGCGCCCTTTCTTTTGTTTTTTTGTTTTTAATACATGACCATTTTTAAGGGGTGCATGGGACTCCATTTTAGAATCCTCCTTGTAATTAACTCATGGTGTGCAGGCCTTAATTATTTCCTTTGGGCACGTGCTCCACACGGAATTGCTGCGTGTTCACCCATCCCCCCTAAACATTCATCAACGCCAAACACTATGGAGCATTCACCATGTGCCAACAGTGTCAGAATTTGGATCTTGAATTTCACATGTAGAATTGAGTGCTGAAGATTAAAGAGTATCTGTTACTCTCTTTGTATTCAGAACCTTATGGTGCCTTGTTTTGAATTCATGCTCTTAATGTCTTGTATTGCCCAATTGAATTTGTCCTATTTTATGGTCTTGCCAGTAGTTAATGAGAATGCCATTTCCCTGCAGTCTGTCTAGGCCAGTAGTACTTAGGATTAATATATTTTTTTTAATTTTACTTTTAAGTTTACATACAGCAAAATTTACTTTGTTGTTTGACAGTTACGTGAGTTCTGACAAATGCACTGAGATGTTTAACTGCCACGGCAATCAATAGAACAGTTCCATTGCCCAAAACCTTTCTCCTGTACTGTGCCCTTGTAATCAAACCCACCCCACGCCCCTAGCCTCTAGCAACTGTTTGATAATGTTCTTCATTCCTGTAGCTCCATCTTTCCGGAATGTCACTCATGTCACAGTATGTAGCATTTTTACAAAATCATTTTTAAAAATGAGGGTTTTTTTTTAAATTTAAGTATAGTTGATACCAGTGTTTGTAGCATTTTTTTTTTTTTTAAGATTTTATTTATTTATTTGACAGAGACAGCAAGAGAGGGAAAACACAAGTAGGGGGATTGGGAAAGCGAGAAGCAGGCTTTCCGCTGAGCAGGGAGCCTGATGTGGGGCTTGATCCCAGGACCCTGGTATCATGACCTGAGCCGAAGGCAGACGCTTAACTGAGCCACCCAGGCGCCCCTGTTTGTAGCATTTTAAGTGAGTCTGGCTTCTTCCATTACACGTCATGCCTTTGAAAGTCATCCATATTGGGAGCACCTGGGTGGCTCAGTCCATTGAGCGTCTGACTCTTGGTTTTGGCTCAGGTCATGATCTCAGGGTCCTGGGATCAAGCCCCATGTCAGGCTCCGGGTTCAGCATGTAGTCTGCTTGGCATTCTGCCCCTCTCTCTGTGCCTCCTCCCACTCACGTGCACTCACTCACTCTCTAAAAAAAAAAAAGAAAGAAAAAGTCAAGTCACCCATATTGTTGCATGTATCAATAGTTCCTTCTTCATGTTGAGTAGTTTCCCATTGTGTGGAGTACCACAATTTGCTTATCTGTTCACTTGTTGAAGGACATACATGTTGTTAGGTTTTGACACTTAAGAATAGACCTGCTATAAACATTCACATACAGGCTTTTGTGTGAACACAAATTTTCATTTCTCTTGGGTGAATACTGAGGAGTCAAATTGCTGGGCTGTATGCTAAGTGTAGGTTTATTTTATTTATTTGTTTATTTGTTTATTTTTCGTTTGTTTGTTT